TATGCACTGCAAGCTGCTACGGTGAACGCCTCGCCGTCAATAGCTTTCTACCCTGAGTGTCGAATGCGGTTAATTCCAAGAAAGTGAAGCAGGGGTCTCCTTAGAATTCCATCTCAACAAATATCATACGGATTGTAGATGTAATAATAAACACTTTTCAGTTCAATTAAAATTTTATATAATCACTTTTATGTGCACTAAAAGGGTTTCATGCTATTTACTCAGAACCCTTTTATTTTATGGCAAATTTGCAAGAACAGCTTTTCTAGAGAAATTCAATTAAAAAAATGTGTACTGACCGCCCATCTACCACACCACTGGTAGTTGAAGTGAATCGTTTGTAGGTCATTTTTAAAGGACATTATGACGCCACAAAACCAAATTTGGTTTCGTTAGCACTCACGGTTTTTTAGATATCACGAAAAAAGTCAAAATAAATTCAACATCCAGCATCTTGGTTAAGAAGATTTACGATCTATATTCACAGGAACTTTTTTCTTCAAAATGTCCTCTATTAACTGTTAAAGTTGGTACGTTTAAAAAGGGAACACCCTGTATACATGTACTGCCCGATAGCGTTTTGATATTGTTTTCCTTAGAAACGTATCTCTGTTTTGAAGTCATCATGAAGAATTTTAAGTTGTAACATTTTTTCTCTATTTAGCGTTTCTTTATTTATATTTTCAACTGTTTTCGAGATATTAACAGTTGAAAATCACTTTCCTGAAATTTTCGGCTATGCTACACGAAAAACTGTTTTTTTTCCGTCAAAGTTGTCGTATGTAAAGACATTTAGCAGAAGGAATCTTTATGTGACAACTAGCTGACCTGACAGAAGTTGTCCTGTCCAGATTTCAGTAAATTTGTTTGTAATCGTTTTGTGAATTTGTGAAAAGCTATTGTAAATGTGTAAACAAAGTAAAAATGAGAAAAAAACGTATTTCAGAGTGATGAGGAGGAGTACATTCAGATTTATGCCAGTAGGAAATTTTACATGCTGGGATGGGTTTTTCCAGATTGTTCTCCAGATCTTCCAGATTGTATATTCAATTGAGTTATTTCCATCCTAGGAGCATAACGAACAAAACAAAAAAAAATCAACCATACCAAATATGTCGTTCCTATCGTCAGTTATGATCGAGAGTACACACAAAAGTTATGATTTTTGCGTTTTTTCCAAGTTTTCTGACTTTCGTTTATAATTGTCCTGAATTTTTTTCCGAATTACGCATATTCATCCTTTGAAACGCGAGTTATGGTCTTGAGTTCATACAAAAATCCCATAGAAAAAAGCACTTTTAGTTTTTGCCGAATATTCCAATTTTCCGGGCAACTTTTCCAGTTTTTCTTTCCCTAAAAACCTTATTCGGACTATTACAAACATTTAAAAAAATAGCCAAATCGCTCCAGCCGTTCTCAAGTGATTAGCTTACCAATAAACAGTATTTAATTTTTATTTATACAGGGTGATTCAGAACTTATCCAAAAAAATTGGAGACAATATCGTAAAAAAAAATTTTGTAAAATCCTTAGTTTCCGTGAAAAAAAATTATTGAAGTTATAGTACATTCAACGACTACATAGCTGGACAACTGTAGTCTCTAGCGTCATTCGCAATGCGCGTGGAGAGCCACGTGGCCTCAGCGACTCCGAATACTGAAATAGGATTTTGCAATCGTCGTTGCAATAGTATTTACCTGTTATCTGTTCAATAGTTTTTTTTTAGTAGTTAGTGTCAAAAATGGTTTGCGTGTATAGCAACTCGGAGTTCATGATGGATATCGTTTTAATTTATGGTGAAGCATTTGTGATATGGTGAAGCAAGACAACATTTGTGTTAGTTCGTAGAAACTGAGTAAGACGGACCCAAATGTGTTTACACGTTGGTGGACAAAATTTTGAACAATTGTTGTAACATCGGGTATGTCAAATGATTTTATTATTTAAAAACACAAATTAATTATATTAATTAATAAAAACAAAAGCAGTTCAATTTGCCGATATAAAATAGGTGCGATAAAATTCTATTTACATATTTCTTTCCTTGCGAAAGTTTTTGTCCGTTTTTATCACACCGCCATGCCGGTCGCATTGTGCGAGGTCAGGTTTTACAGTGGACCAGTTTCCAGTGCCGTACAGAAGTGTATTATTAAATCATTTTCGAACTGCCCTTTTTGATTTTTTCTTTACAAAATTGTATTTGTAAGGGTCCCCTGTACATCCAGATTTTTTTTTGGATAAGTTCTGAATCACCCTGTATACAGTATGTATGTATACTGTACACGGTTAGAGCGGAAAAGAGGGAAAATATTGTTATTTTTCATTTTACGAGAAAAAGGCACTCTTGATTAAAATTTTTCTTGTCTTTAAAATACGATTGTCATGGAGAACTTTCATCTTGCATGTACAGGGTGATCAGAAAATCGGTAAATATAAAAATCGTTAAAAAATAAACAGCCTTATTTTATTAATACAGAAATACGTTATTAAGGAAAGTTGCTTAGAATTAAAATTTATATAATAATTTCAATTTGTGTATGAATCGGCCTACTTTGATAGAAACGGTCAGTAAAACATTTTTATTGTTCATTTTATGAGAAAAAGGCATTCTTAATGGCTTTTTCTCGTAAAATGAAATATAAAAATATTTTTCCTCTTTTCCACTCTAACCGCAAACATACTGTAGATTTATTTCTTCCAAATTGCGACTGCCGACTTTTTAAAAAAATAAATAGTTACAACTACAGTACCAAAACCACAACATTTGTAATAAATCGTCTTATCTGGCCACACCGCTGTAAAAACGGCACCGGAATTTTGACAAGCCCGTTCCGAGTTAATTTGCCGATCTCGCATCCATCCCTTCCATCTAATTTCATCCGTCCAATTTTGACATAGTTCCGGGCTTCTTATTCCGGCCCGCTCGCGCCGTGATCGATCTATCCCACTCCTGATCCGATCCGTTGATTACAATCTCCGGTCCGCCGAGCAAGTTGTTAGCCCGCTTTTTCGCGCCCAATCAATGGCCGGTAATTAAAATTTATGGCTCATAACCTATTTGCCTGCAGGTTTTTCATTGTTCCTAATAATTATGTAAAATCCCGGTTATTGTTGCGCTGCAATAGTAACGGGATAAAGCTTTTATCTCCTTTTGTGTTCGAGGAGATGGAAAAGGTGTTGAGATTTAAATGTGTGAAGGAGAAAATAATTGCGGGCGTAATGGTTATATATTGCGGCTTAAATGCTTGCATTCAGAAATGTAAATCTAGAATATTATTCTCGGGTTCTTGTAAAATTACTTTTCTGCGGTTAGCAGAGCTATGGAAGCGAAGATAGTGGGTGGGGGGGGGCTGTGTCTGTAGCGATAGAGGTAGCTAAAATTAGTAATAAACCATTCAATTTCGGTATATTTTGAAGGCTGCAGTAAATTAGGAATTTGGTATGTAAATGTATCAACTTTAAGCAGCTTGTATAAGCTGCGTGGCAACAGTAACACGGTATTTTTCCCTCATGAAATCGAGCAAACAAACGCTTTGCTTAAACTACGACAGTTACATTTGACAGGATTCATTAGTCGTAAGGTCCTCAAGTTCTCAACAAAAGGCTTTTGAGGAGCTTACCCCGTCAAAGAAAACTTTACGGACACTTGCTCCGTTTACATGATAGCGTCGAACAAAACGCAAATACACATTTTCCACGCCTCTGAGCGTTCTGTAATATTGCAATTAGTCCAATCAACAGCTAGAAAAGCTTACAAAAAATACCACCTGGAAACAAAAAATATGGTGATATAGGAAAAAAAATTCTAAGAACGATAGTGTATTTTTCCTGTGGCGCATAAACGGCGAAGTTAACCTAAAAAATTCATAAAAGTCAAAAGAACGGTTTTCCACTACTAAAAAAAAACTTGACCCCAATGGAAAAAAAAAACCTATCCGTATTTTTAACCATATCGATTGCTATATTACTTTTCGAAATATATCGAAAAAACCGTCAAAAATCGACTTTTTTGTTTTTGCTGTATCTCTTGCAAATTAAGGTTTTGAAACTTGTTACTTACGAACGACTTAAAGACATGTAAAAATAGAATCTTCGAAACGTCAAAAACTGATGGACAACTGTCTGTTTTTAACGTAAGTTTTGGCGTAACTTAATACATTTTCTGATCTAAATAGTGACCGGAAACAGACATTTTCTAGATCGACGAAAAAAAACTGAATTTTTAAAATAGGTACATACACATTTGGGAGTTACGGTATTCATTATAATTATTAGTAAGTATTTTTATTTATCTTTTATTATGTACATTTTATGAAGTAGCAATCCTGATTATCTCAAATTATAAATTAATTTTAGTAACAATCAGTAACATGTTTCTATATATATTGCAATATAATTAATCCTGGAAATACATTAATTTTTAAAAAATATCCAATTTTTTTTTATTGTTCGGCGCTTCGTCCGCATTGAGATCAAACAACTATGGTGACTTTAAAATAACACATCGTCAAGTCACGCAAAAGCAATATGTTTTTAAGAAATTGTTTTCCATTGAAGTTACTCCGTTAATTTCACACAGTTGGTTAAAAAGGTAAAAACGGGCAAGCTGATAAACGCGCTGACACAAACAATTTCGTGAGCTGCCCAGTAACGGCGTAGACAAGAGTTTAAGTGCAGTTTAAAAAACGATTTAGAACTGCACTGTTTATTTGATTAAAAAAGATGAATTTGAGATTATTTGCGAAAGCAGTACCCTTCAAAAAAGAACTGTAATCACAAAACATAAATGTTAATTACAGAAATCACAGAACAGTGTTGCATTTGGCACAATTTTCGAATCTCGCTACTGCTTATCACCGTACGATTCATCCGCAGGGTTCTACTGGCATTACTATTTACTTGTTCACTAATTTTTTCACCTTGGCCGATTCATCCGCGACTATCATCCAAACCGACCAGTGTGAAACCGCCTTAATACTGTCGACTCTTTTCAGGAGGAGGAGGAAGAGGGTGTGGAGGTGGAGCAGGGCGGCGGCAGCGACAAGCAGTCGAAGGGCTCCTCCGACGGCGATGCCACCACCGGCAGCTACTCCAGCCTGGAGGACGACGAGGCGGAGACGGTGGACCAGCTAGCGGCCCTAGCGGCGCGGTATCAGGTCGATAACGTCGACCTTGGCAACGGGAATAAGATATGTAAGTTTGCATGTGTTCGGTTAAGACGCAGTAGAATATAGGGTGTACCAGAATTAATAGCGCGCCTTAGCTGTCATAAAAACACGTGCCATAAACTCAACCAAGCAAATCGACAAACTCACTCACGCACGTACAAACGATAATGAAATGCACGGCCACGTCAGCAAAAACCTGGATTGTTTACTGGCACATCAGGCGGACAGGGCAGGCATTAGGGTGCCGCTAGATACCTATCGAATAAATTGATCCATGCGAAACTTCAGATCAGAGGCAGATGCGTACATTTTATTGTTCTATGACGTGGGTAATGGGAAATGTGAAGTAGTTGATGCTTCGCACTATTAATAAAAATAGCATCTATTAAAAGCTTCAACTATTTTAAATATGCGCCTGTGAACTCGGGAAATGTTGAACTGTCATTTTCATTTTTGAAATGGGTCTCGCCGGAGACGATTAACCGCGGAATACTTTGGACAACTGTTAATTACTTTCTACAATCGCTTTCCTTATGAGCAAGAAATTATTATTTTGTTAACTTTTATGGTACTTATTATTACGTACTATACCTATATATTTTATGGTAACTTCCATGTGAAGCGTTTAGTGTAGAAAATAGACTATTCCCCTTCTTATTTCATACTACATATGCAAATACTTACGTATTGTTATGATATCTAAGCCAATAACGATACCAAAGTACATAATATGGGGGTGGTGGTGGTGCGCAAAATTAAAATCTTGACCTGGAGCTCATAACCTCAACTGCTATATTGCTCCCGAGATATTAGTGGATACTTAACGGAACCCTGTTCCATGGTCCACGTTCATATGAAAGTTTTTACCTAAAATCACTTGTTCCTTCACCTGGCAGTTTCCCTGGACTACTCCATATAAGTAATTATTGTGGACCGACCCAGAATTAAATCGCGAAATCTCATTTCCCAAGCCTCTACTCCCAGAGCCCCCAGCAGAGCCCTTAACACCTCCCCGGACAGGACGGCATGCCACTTAAAATTTGCACGGGAACCGGGCTAGAGCGCTCCTCACTTTAGACGATTCTCCAGATTTGCCGCGCGTATTATAATGCAATAACCGGGATCCCTAGCCTTGTATGCTATAAATCTCCCAAGGAGCCGTGCTCCAAGGTGAAGGTGAAGGTCCCCGACATCTCGTAAGTGGAATCACACGCTCAATTTCCTCTAATACTACGCTGCCCGAATACATATCGGGGATGGAGTCACGTGTTGTGCCGTTATTGAAAACAAAGCGGATCAGGAGGACGGCGAAATTGATAAATGACGGACGCCTTTGTGCAGCGTCGAGCGTGGGAATCCCAGACGGCCCCGAAAATAGAAACTATTGTACTTATGCTTTGTTTAGTGAAAGGCAGTAATGCCGGAATAAATCAAGCTATTTCACGCGCAATTTCGATGCAAATAGGAGTGCTTCCAAAAGTGAAATTCTATACAAAATGTCACATAAACGTAAAATACTGATAAAACATAATAAACAACACAATTACTTATTTTGTTCATCGTGCTTCATCGAATTTAATCAAAATAACATTAAAGCGGGAACTGGAGGGATGATGTCGTCTCCACTGGAAGCTTCGCCATGGGCGTAGGTAGGATTTTTGCTTAGGGTGAGCCTTGAGGGCCACTAGTCCGCAATGCTCTGTGCGAGGCTCTGGTCTACGGTCTGGTAACTTACACATGTTTTCATGTAAAAAAACTAGTAGCTTTATAAAGGTAATCTCCATATTCTCAATTTATATGCTAAAAACGTATCGGAGGATGTACCCTTGTACCGTCACGTTTCCCGGCGTCCTAATCTTTCCATGATCCTATCTCTGTGATGATAAAGCCATTACCGTTATCAGGAATTATGTACGCACTAGGCAGTAGGCAGTAACCGTGCAACTGGAAGAAACATTTCAAGGATGGAACCTCCCGCCTATATAGTTTGGCAATATTTTTTATACAGCGTCACTTTTTAGATGTTACATATTATGAGCGCAAATACTTCACGGTTTCAATTGCTTCACATCCACCTTTATTTCACGACCGCTGGTTCATTCTTCTCGCTTATATCGGACGTAAAGTAATTGAGTTCGTGAAGTATTTGCGGACGTAAAAGAATATAACATCTAGGAAGTCAAACGTAAATACTTCACGCTTTCATTTACTTCACATCCGCTTTTACTTCACGACCGCTTATTGATTTTGTAGGATATTATAGCGGATGTGAAGTAATTTTATTGAGTCCGTGGACTATTTGTAGATGTAAATAAGTAACATTTTCCATGCGGAAACGTAAAACTGCATTTTTCTCAGTTACTTCACATCCACTTTTACTTCACTGATTCACTCTGGCTGATATTGTTGTGGACGATTGGTAATGGAATTGGTGAAGAATTTCTGGACGTAAAATAATATCTAGAGAAAAATGTTTCGTTTGTGTTGTTATTTTAGGGATGCAAATACTTCACGGTCTCGATTACTTCACAACCGCCCTTATTTCACGGCCGCTGATTTTTCTTCCCGATTATATCGGACGGATCTAAAAAGTCAAACGTAAATACTTCACGCTTACATTTATTTCACATTCGCTTTTACTTCACGATCGCTTATTGATTTTTAGCGGATGTGAAGTAATTGAGTCCGAGAACTATTTGTAGATGAAATAAGTCAAAACATAGATGTTACATATTATAAGTGCAAATACTTCACAGTCTCGACTGCTTCACATCCACCTTTATTTCACGACCGCTGGTTCAATCTTCCCGCTTATACCGGACGTGAAGTAATTGATTCCGTGAAGTATTTGCGGACGTAAAAGAATATGACATCTAGAAAGTCAAACGTAAATACTTCACGCTTTCATTTACTTCACATCCGCTTTTACTTCACGACCGCTTATTGATTTTGTAGGATATTATAGAGGATGTGAAGTAATTTTATTGAGTCCGTGAACTATTTGTAGATGTGAATAAGTAAAACTTTCCATACGGAAACGTAAAACTGCATTTTTTCTCTGTTACTTGACATCCACTTTTACTCCACTGATTCTCTCTGTCTAATATTGTAGCGGATGTTAGGTAATGGAATTGGTGAAGGATTTGTGGACGTAAAATAATATCCAAATGAAATGTTTGGTTTGTATTGTTATGCAAATACTTCACCGATACAATTATTTTACGTCCACTGTTGCTTCACTTACACTGTAGTAGCTCGCGTTTTAAAGGTCACATGTTTTGAGTGCACCACGTGACATCTTAAAGTGACATTTCACGTCCGGCAAAGAAGTTCGTAACACTCCATGGTGAAATAGACCGAGGTATCGAAGACAATTTTGTATAGTTCATACAGTATTGCTGTGGGATAATTTAACACGTTTTTCTTTCCAGACGGTGCCCATCTGGCGACGGCCGCCTACCAGAACAGGCTGGTGTCCAATGCCAACACGGCGGTGACGAACTTCGGCAACAACTCGCTGATGAACGCGAACCAGCCGCCGTTCGGCACCAGCTCCGACTCCGAGTCGCCCACGGAGCCCGTCAGCCAGCAGACGGTGACGGTGGCCATGCTCAGGGCCAGGGTGGTGCCAAACAAGATGTAGAGGTAGTAAAAGCTTAACTCTTAGGTTTCCGAACGTTGAACGTCCTTCAGACTGGGACGTGCGGGTGAAGGGGTTTGGGCGATCTTAAGAGGTTTTGTGGTTCCGTTTTGTCATAATGGTGAAGACACGTAGCTCGGTCAGTCGTAATTAACCATTCTATCTTCAAACTTCAATTAAATTCATTAAATGATTAAATAAATTTAATGTAACTACCCCAAGCCGAATATAGAGGGTGTGAATAAATAAGTGCGGACAAATTTAAGGGGATTCCCTGTGGAAAAATAAGGTGGGTTTTCATATAAAAAAATCTTATTTGAACATCTCCTGTGAAGGTACAACCAATTAAAGAGGGTACCAAAAATTTTTTTTTCTGAAGTACCAAAAAAGTGACGGAAATAAAATTCAGTAAACATTTTCTGCTATCGAGAAGGCACTTATTAAACAATTTGTTGATTTCCCCTACTTACCTTTTTTCTTAATATTACCTTTCTATTTAAAAATTAATTTGGGATAGCCTGATTCATTCTAAATAAAAAAGGTCTCTTGTAATTTTCTCGTAAAATTAACGATTTTTGAGCAAAAAAATTATTTATAATCAATTACACGGCATGGCATAGGGTAGAAATTTTATCGAACTGTAATTTATCTAGTAGGCGTCTGTCACGTTGACTTTTGTAATGACAACTTAATTGTTAATGCAATTTAATTTTATTTAATATGTGAAAAACCAAACTAAGTTTATTAAATATGTAGAAAAACACACTTGGTTTGTTTTTTTCACATATTTAATAAAATTAAATTGCATCAATTATAACAATTATGTTGTCCCTACAAAATGTCAACGTAACAGCTGCCTACTAGATAAATTACAGTTCAATAAAATTTCTACCCTATGCCAATCATGCTATGTAATTGATTTTAAATAAATTTTTTGCTCAGAAATCATTAATTTTACGAGAAAATTAGAAGAGACCTTTTTTGTTTAGAATGAATCAGGCTATATGAAATGAATTTTTAAATGGAAAGGTAATACTAAGAAAAAAGTTAGGTATGAAACAAATCCTACCTTTTCCTACCTCTTACACCGTAGGGGAAATCAACAAATTGTTTAATGAATGCCTTCTAGATAGCAGAAAATGTCTACTTAATTTCACTTCTTTCACTTTTTTGAAATTTCAGAAAAAAAATTAAAAACTTTTTTTTGGCACCCTCTTTAAAAGCGGTTGTATCTTCACAGGTGACAATCAAATGAGATTTTTTTTTATGAAAGGCCTACCTTATTTTTTCACAGGAAATTACCCCCTGAATTTTTTCGCACTTATTTATTTACACCCTGTATATATTATGTGCCTAAATCCGGATGCCAAACTTCCTTAAAATCCTTGATTTGAAGACGATAAATTAACGTTTCTTTTTTTGGAAATATCTTCAACATTACTTGAAATCTTGGTAGTAAATTTGTTGCACTTTTTTGGCCGTTTGTTACTCATGGTTATACAAAGTCACAAAAAAATATGTTGTCTGCAACTCACTTTTTCATAGCTGCTTTGAGAATTGTTGATTTTTTAAATTTTTCCTTGGAAAATGTACATTTTGATTAGTTTCGAATAAAACTAAAAAAATAGGTCTTTCTGTTTAATTACTGTATAGGTTCATATTCAATAGGTACATTATATACATTATACAGGGCTGGAAAATCCACATGGTCCATCTGCCTTTACATGAGAGCGACAAAGTAAAGTAAAGAAATCCGTGCGATAGACAAGGATGGCTATAGTGAAGACGTTTCACAATCTGAATAGTCACGGCCCGTTTCGGGTTAGAAGTGGGAGTGACTATTCAGATTATGAAACGTCTTCAATGTAACCATCCTTGTCTATCGCACGGATTTCTATGACTNTGGCCATGCTCAGGGCCAGGGTGGTGCCAAACAAGATGTAGAGGTAGTAAAAGCTTAACTCTTAGGTTTCCGAACGTTGAACGTCCTTCAGACTGGGACGTGCGGGTGAAGGGGTTTGGGTGGTCTTAAGAGGGTTTTGTGATTCCGTTCTGTCGTAATGGTGTAAGTATGTAGCTCGGTCAGTCGTAATTAACTATTCTACCTTAAAACATTTATAAAATAAGTTATTACTGCAATTAAATTGATTAAATGATTAAATAAATTTAATGTCACTACCCCAAGCCGAATATAGAGGGTGTAAATAAATAAGTGCGAAAAAATTTAAGGGGTGATTCCCTGTGGAAAAATAAGGCGGATTTTTCATATAAACATCTCCCATGAAAATACAACCGATTGAACAGGGTGCCAAAAGAATAGTTTTTAATTTTTTTTAAATTTTAAATTAAGTAGACATTTTCTGCTATCGAGAAGTCACTCAGTAAACAATTTGTTGTTTTTCCTTTACGGTTGTAAGGGGTAGAAAAAACCACCCCTAAGATTTGCTTCGTACGTAACTTTGTTTTTTTATTACTACTTCACCATTTAAAAATTCATTTCAAATAGCCTGATTCATTCTAAACAAAAAAAGGCTCTTATAATTTTTTCGTAAAATTAACGATTTCTGAACAAAAAATTTATTTATAATCATCATACATGGCATGATTAGCATTGAGTAGAAATTTTATAGAGTAGACGGCTGTTGCTTTGACATTTTGTAATGACAACTTAGTTGTTATAATTAATGCAATTTAATTTTATTTAATATGTGAAAAAACAAACAAAGTTTATTAAATATGTAGAAAAACACACTCAGTTTGTTTTTTCACATATTTAATAAAATTAAGTTGCATCAATTATAACAGTTATGTTGTCCTTACAAAATATCAACGTGACAGCTACCTACTGGATAAATTATAATTCGATAAAATTTCTACCCGATACCAATAATGCTGTTTTAAATATATTTTTTGTTCAGAAATAAATCGTTAATTTTACGAGAAAATTACAAGAGACCTTTTTTATTTAGAATGAATTAAAGTATCTAAAATTAATTTTTAAATGGTAACGTAGTAATAAGAAAAAAGTTACGTACGAAACAAGTCTTAAAGGTATTTTTTTCCACCCCATACAACTGTAGGAGAAAATCAACAAATTGTTTACTGAGTGCCTTCTCGACAGTAGAAATTGTCTACGTAACTTCATTTCTGTCACTTTTTGGGTATTTTAGAAAAAATATTAAAAACTGCCTTTTTGGCGCCCTCTTTAAGCGGTTGTATCTTGACAGAGGATGTTCAAATTATATTTTCTTATATAAAAGACCCATCCTATTTTTCCACAGGGAATCACCTCCTGAATTTTTTCGCACTTATTTATTTACACCCTGTATATATTATGTGCCTAAATCCGGATGCCAAACTTCCTTAAAGTCCTTGATCTGGAGACGATATATTGACGTTTTTTTTTTTTTTTGGAAATATCTTCAACACCACTTGAAATCTTGGTACTAAATTTGATGCACTTTTTTGACTGTTTGTTACTTATGGTTATACAAAGTCACAAAAAAATATGTTGCCTGCAACTCACTTTTTCATAGCTGCTTTGAGAATTGTTGATTTTTTAAATTTTTCATTTTCGAATAAAACTAAAAAAATAGGTCTTTCTGTTTAATTACTGTATAGGTTCATATTCAATAGGTACATATACAGGGCTGGAAAATCCACATGGTCCATCTGCCTTTACATGAAAGCGACAAAGTAAAGTAAAGAAATCCGTCCGATAGACAAGGATGGCTATGGTGAAGACGTTTCATAATCTGAATAGTCACGGCCCGTTTCGGGTTAGAAGTGGGAGTGACTATTCAGATTATGAAACGCCTTCAATGTAACCATCCTTGTCTATCGCACGGATTTCTATGACTTACTTTATCGCTCTCACGTAACGGCCGATGTACCATGGAGATTTTCCGAACCTGTATACAGGCTAATTCAAAATTCAGTACAATGAATTGGGTGGCATATTATTGAAGTTAAAATAAGAGTTTTTTCCTGTAAGCATTTGTGGACCGTGGGTCCACAAATGCTTAGTTTTCGATATTCGTTTTTTTGGGAATAATTTCCAAACAGATTTGATTGTTGGCATAAAACTTGGAGTACAGGGGTTTTTATTTATCAATTTTAGGTTATCAATTTTAAGCGAAAAAGATATACTTGCTCGAAATCTCTCAGACCAACCGTTTCCGAGATATTGACAGATGAAGAGTTACACCATTTTTTGAATTTTATCAACTAGACATTTACTGTGAAAAATTTTAAAATTTATTTTCACCACCTAATGCAATGATCTTGAATTTTAGCTCTTTATATTTTTTTCACTAACCGTTTTCGAGAAAATCACTGCTGACTAGTGACAATACTACCGTTTAGTCAGCAGTGATTTTCTCGAAAACGGTTAGTTGTATCAAAAAAATGTACAGAACTTTAAAGATCATTGCATTACTTACATGGTGAAAATAAATTTTAAAATTTTTCACTGTAAATAGTTAATAAAATTTGAAAATATGGTGTGCATTTAACACTTCATTATCGATATCACGGGAACGGTTAGTCTGAGAGATTTGAACCATATATACCTTTTTTGCTTAAAATCGATAAATCGGGAATAAATGCACTATGAAACGTTAATGTAGAGGGTAGTAAAAAAGTTAGGTCTAATTTAATTCAAGCGTACCCTTATAGGTTTCGCTCTGTATAAGCAGCGTCAAAAGCAATTACGTTTTTAAATTTAGCATCTTAAAAAAACCTGTACCCCAAGTTTTATGCCAACATTCAATTCTGTTTGGAAATTATTCCTAAAAAAATCGAAAAAAACAAAAAACCAACATCCTGTATATCGAAAACTAAGCATTTGTGGACCCACGTTTATAAGGCGTTATTTCGACCTCAAAAATACGGCTTTAAATTCTTTGTACATTTTGAAACAGCCTGTATAATACAATATTTGTACATTTAAGAAATATTGATGAGTTTAAGAATTATATTAGTATCGAATTATTATCGGTGAC